TATCTGACATCGGGCCCTTCCAACCCGTCTTTTCCCATGGCGCTCACCTGTTCTCGGCCCGCAGTCGGGTGGCACATCGAACAACGAACACACAAGAGGACACCAAGGGAAGCCGTGTATATCGGAGGGGCGAGTGGCAGATGAGCTGGAGGGTGAGCAGGGTGAAGACGAGGAGGATGAAGGAGGAGGACGGGGAACAGCAGCATCAGCAGCAACAGCAGGAATGGGAGCGGGGGCAGGAGGAGAGCGAGGAAAGGCTGACGAGGGGAAGTGAGCGCGGAGACGACCATGAGGAAGGGCTCGGATTCCGAAGGCGGCCACTGCTGGGGCGAGAAGGCCATCCTGAACGACAGAAGCACACCGGCGATCAGAAAATGAGGCCCACGCTGCAGCGGAATATACGCCGGCCATTTTGCGGGGCCATCAAACTGCGTGGCGGAGGTGTCATGCCCCCTGCACCAAATCCAATTTCCAGTGTTTCATTGCTGCTTTCTGCTTCCTACTGTAACGTTGATTTCTGCTCGAGGGGGGGGAGCCGGAAAAAACCCTGATTACCACCTCCCGGGAGGGTTCTCAAAATTTCCAAGGGCCCTGGGACGCGTGAGAATACTTGAAACTCACGCCGCCGAAGCCGCGAGCCCCCGCAATTTACGCCACACTCGCGCCCCCAAGGCCAAGATCCTCCGCAAACTATTCGGTATTCCGTACCCACGATCCTGCGGCCACGACCCCCCAAAATACACCACATTCTCGCCTCCGGGGCCACGATCCCCCGTCAGTTACACCACGGTCGCGCCCCCGAGGCTGCGATCCATCTAAAATTACACCACACTCGCGCCCCCGAGGCCAAGATCTCCCGAAAATTACCCCACGTTCGCTCCCCCGATGCCACGATCCGGTGTCAATTACGCCACGCTCGCGCTCCTGAAGCCACGATCCCTCGTAAATCGCGCCACACTCGCGCCCCCGAGGCCACGATCTTCTACAAGAGGCCCCATGGGGCGCCCAAGACGCGCCCGAGAGGCCTCCAAGAAACTCAAAAATACCTCACGAGGCCCCAAGAGGCCCCCAAGAGGCGCCCAAACCGCCTCCAAGAGGCCCCCGAAAGGCCCCCCACGACATCCCAACACATATACAAGAGGCCTCAGACCAACAACCCAGGCACGATGGCGGGATGGGCAGAAGGCCACGAGGATAACGCCAATGTTTCAGCATGTGCTGACGGTTCCCAGACGCCGTTCCCAATGCGCCAAGGCAGCGCCCAGACGCACCGCCGCGACTCCGTTATAACCCATTATGATAGAGAGGGGGCTGGCGGCAGGGGGCGAAGCCCTTGCGGATACTTGCCGGAAGAACCGGCACGGTCCGACAGAAAACATACATGAACCTTCCTGCTTGAAAAAATCACCCAAAAGCATGCGCACGCACGCCTTACTCGCCCTGCACTCCGAGAAACCAATCGCCCTGGTCCTCCAGGCGCTTGCACTCCGTCAACTCCGCCAGTCTCTGAACCGCCAACTCGCCTCCCGCACCCCAAAAGATATACTTCCCGTGGTCCTCCGCGGCACCTGGCGCGTACTTCCTCGCGTTTTTCAGATGTGGGCTGCGCATTAATGGCTGTCCCCGACGGCGGCTCCAGTTAATAGAAATTCCCGCAGCATGACATCACATGCAACTGACATGCACGAACGCAAGTGCGAGTCGAGCTCTGCTGGGAAGTTCGCGCTCACCATGCTCACTTCGCCCACGAGCAACCACTTCCATTGTGTCATGCGCTGAGCGGCCAGTTCCTTCTTCGTCTTCCCCTTGGACTCTGCGCTCGCATCGCCCCCCGCACTCGGCGCCTTCGCCTTGCTCGCGCCGACCCCAAATGCACTGTGGATTATATTCCCGTCAAGCGCAGACGCGTTCGTAGCCTGCAAAACTGCCGCCTGGAAATCTACGCCGCGCGCCCACGTCATCTGTTCCTATAACAAGTATCGCCGGATTTTGTCGACGACAAAACCCCCGCGGCCCCTGGGCCACCATGTAACACCCACATGAAAGGCCCAATATCAGAACGCCCCTTGCCTGGCCTCTCGCCGATCGCGGAACCCGCGAACTCCTGCGCCAACACCCGATCTGCCACCTTCTCAACGACACCACGCTGACCTGCGGTCAACCCGCCCTCTGCAAGCCCGGTCGCCCACCTCCGCGCGCTGGACGCCGTCGCTTTTTCCCCCGCAACCACCTCTGGGGCACCCTCCGCTTCAGCCGCGCCGCTTCCCTCTGCGGACCTTGACGCCGCGGCCACCGCCAGCGCCTTCTGCGCTGCCGCGTCGCCCCACTTCAGCACGCCGTCCCTGGCTCGCTTCTTGCGCTTTCCGCTCTTCCGACCGTCGCCCTCTCCCCACACGGCGTCGCCCCTTGCCGTGGCCTCCCGACATGTTTCCCTTTCGCGCTCTGCATTTGCGTCTACCCGCCTGTCCGCTTTTCCCATGGAAGCACCCCCCACGCGCGTCTTCCGCCTGGTCGCCGCATCGACAAATCTCGGGTCCAGCTCTTCGTCGCTGCACAGCTCACCCTCGCGCTCCACGAGGCCCCCCCCCCCCCGTGACTGGCCGCAAGTCCACCGCGCCCATGCAGTTACGCACGCATCTCTTTGTCTCCTCCCACGGCATGCGTTCCTTCAACTCTGAGGACGCCCCCGACCACGAGCCCTGCGCTCCGCAGAAATCCCGCGGGCGCGGCACTCCGCAGTCGACGTCATCACGAAGCGTGAACGCCCGAAAATATAGCATCAATAAGTGCTCGTTCCTGTTACCCCCATCAGCCCCACGCTTCGGCTGCGGCGCCCCATGAAAACTAGAATTCCTTGGGCGATCGCCACGCGCCACCACCCACGCGCGCCTCAGAGTCTCTCCATTTCTGGAACAGACGGGAGCGGAACCCACGAAGGAAAACAAACAGAGCCCACTCCAGCTTTCAGCTGGGCCCCCACCTGCGCCCCGCCTCCGCCAGCCCCCGCCCCCCCTGGTCTGCTTCGCGGACCTTTCGGACCCCCGACAGCGCCAGCTCCGCCTGGCACTCACTGCCGGCCGCAGCCGACATCTCCGCCAGCTCTATGCGCCAGCATCGCAGGACCTCGCACACAAATAAGAGCGCCCCAGTCCGGCGCACCAGGAGCGCCCACTGGGCGCATGCCATGCAAGTACACCGGACACTTCGAAACAATTCGAACCTCCTTCGACCCTTCTCGTTTGTCCGCTTCGACAATCCCCGGCGCTGCCACGGCAACGCCGTGCCCGTCTGCGCAGAGCCACTCCGCCATGCGCACTGCTTCTACCCCCAGGGTCATGGCTGTCTTCGCAGTCTTGATACTCTCGGCACTGGTCACGTCTCTCGGCCCCCCGTGCGCTCGCAGGTTCGCACTTTCCTGCGCCGACCGCGCCGCGCCTCCCCCGCACATGTCACTGACAAAGCTCTTCATGTGCCTGTTCGCTCGGTATGCCGCGGTCCTGTCCTCCGTTTGCTCCGCCAGCGCGCGGCGGCCCTTTTTGATCTCCCTCACCTCGTTGAACGACGGGGCACGCCGCTTGCACTGATTGTCCGCCGCATACCCCGCCGCTGCATTCTGCGCTCGCTGCGCTGCCAGCACCATGTCTATGGTGCCGATCCGTTTCCCAGCACCGCCCTTCGCAAATTGAACTTTCGCGCGTTGCCTCCGTCACTGGAAACCTGTGCGGGATCTGCAGATCGCCGTTGAAATTCAACCCTACCGCGCCCCCTGGCATCGCAGGCAGCGCACCGTTCAGGTGATCCTCGTTCATGGGCCCGCGCAAGCAACCTGTCATGTCCCTCCCCCCTGCCCGGGGCATGCCACGTGCTTTCAAAAACCGGCGGCACAAGACCACCGCGCGATCTATAAACCACGTCGTGCTCGGGAAAAAGCTTCTACGCGTGTCATGTCGTCTTTCCTCTGACCATGTGCCAGCGGTACCACGCGCTGCAAACGCTTATTCACTGGTGCGCGCGGTTCTGTCAAATCTCCTGCCCCTTCTGCACCCAGACGCCAAAGTATTCTTGCAGCCACGTTCGACCTTCCTCGCATACATTATCCCCCTTGTCTGTTCCCTCAAAGGCGGGCGCGCATTCGGCAACGTCGCTCGTGCTTTTCCTACCGCCTCCTCCCGCCGCTCCCAACCCTCTCGTCTGGTCGCTGTGTAAGTACTCCAGCGCCGCGACCAAATCCGTCGCCTCGCGGTACATGGACAACGCATTTTCCACTGCCGCTTTCCTCTCCATCCATCCCTTCTTCTACTACTACTACTACTACTACTACTACTACTACTACTACTACTACTACTACTACTACTACTACTACTACTACTACTACTACTACTACTACTACTACTACTACTACTACTACTACTACTACTACTACTACTACTACTACTACTACTACTACTACTACTACTACTACTACTACTACTACTACTACTACTACTACTACTACTACTACTACTACTACTACTACTACTACTACTACTACTACTACTACTACTACTACTACTACTACTACTACTACTACTAGCTACTACTCACGACTACTACTACTACTACTACTACGACTACTACTGACTACTCTAGACGACGACGCAGCTGAACTCTACTACTACGACTACTACTACT